TACAGAGCTGGGGATCTCAGCAGGACTGGGAAAAAAAAATCCTGCCAGAGACACAGGACAGAGCAGACCTTAGAGGGTAACATTTCACAAGCGCCAGATCCATTTTCCCACAGAACAGCTTTCCAGCAGATTCACATTTCCTTCTCCAGTATTCATTCCGCGTAGCGTTAAGCTTTCTGAAACAATAGTTACCATCTTGAAATGCAGGGTTTTGCAAGAGCGCGATTGTGCAGCCTGGCCCTGCTCGTAACACGCACCAAGGTCACAGAAACCAGGAGGCGAACAAGGCCAGCACCCCTGCAGCCGAAACTGGAGTCGCTGCTTCCCCCAGCCCTCCTGGCAGGCAATGACAACCTCTCAACAGAGCTAATTGCAAACAGATTTGGCATGTAGGCAACGCTGATTTGATTTAGTGAAACAACCAGTATGCAGCCAGAGATGGCCCTAGGATTCTCGTTTCGTGCACCTTAGTCTGTTTTCCTGTATATTCTGTGCCACAACGAAGTTACTGCTAACTGTAAGGGCTCAGGATGTTGAGTGATGAGGGAGATTAAACTAAAAACCAGGACAATCCATCAGTCAAATGCTACCACCTTGATGGGCAGGTGGAAGAACTGTATGATATATGACATAATAAATGTGTTATATGTCCTGACTAGCTGCTGGAGCTGCTGCTGGCTAACAAAGCATGGGATGTGATTGAGCTCTTTTTCCATGGTCATAAGTAACCTAACCCCACGCGGACTACCTCACACCTAGTAAGAGGCAAGCTCATGCTGATCCCTCTACTTCAGTGGAAATTGCTATTAGGGTCCCTGCCTCCTGCCCAGTCTGCTGAGAAAACTACAGAAAAGCATCACCTCCAAGACTGCTTTATTTCTGCTGGATGTATTAAACCAGCCAACATGGTCAGAAATTACTGTGTAAGGACAGACACATACAGTATGGCTGTGCACCACCATCAGCCTCATTTCCCTAAGAAAGAATCACAGAATCACAGAATTTCTAGGTTGGAAGAGTCCTCAAGATCATCGAGTCCGACCTCTAACATAACACTAACAGTCCCCACTAAACCATATCCCTAAGCTCTACATCTAAACGTCTTTTGAAGACTTCCAGGGATGGTGACTCCACCACTTCCCTGAGCAGCCTGTTCCAGTGCATAACAACCCTTTTGGTAAAGAATTTCTTCCTAACATCCAACCTAAAACTCCCCTGGCGCAACTTAAGCCCATTCCCCCTCGTCCTGTCACCAGGCACGTGGGAGAACAGACCAACCCCCACCTCTCTACAGCCTCCTTTAAGGTACCTGTAGAGAGCGATAAGGTTGCCCCTGAGCCTCCTCTTCTCCAGGCTGAACAAGCCCAGCTCCCTCAGCCGCTCCTCGTAGGACTTGTTCTCCAGGCCCCTCACCAGCTTCGTCGCCCTTCTCTGGACCCGCTCAAGCACCTCGATGTCCTTCTTGTAGCGAGGGGCCCAAAACTGAACACAGTACTCGAGGTGCGGCCTCACCAGAGCCGAGTACAGGGGGACGATCACCTCCCTAGCCCTGCTGGTCACACTGCTTCTGATACAAGCCAGGATGCCGTTGGCCTTCTTGGCCACCTGAGCACACTGCTGGCTCATATTCAGCCGACTGTCCACCATCACTCCCAGGTCCTTCTCTGCCTGGCAGCTCTCCAACCACTCATCTCCCAGCCTGTAGCTCTGCTTGGGGTTATTGCGCCCCAGGTGCAGGACCTGGCACTTGGCCTTGTTGAACTTCATGCAGGAAGCTATAGAAACAGAATAAATTTTTGGTGGCATTTTCCTAAAGCAGACTCTTTACATATGAAATTACCAAGGTCACAGTATACTGGGAGCAAAGAGTCTCAAAATCAGCATCCCTGGAGCCAGATGACCTGAGCCCTGCTCCTTGCTATAGCACAAGCTTACCGAGGTTGCTCTGAGAGGGCACTGAGCCTGTGCCTTGGTTTCTGTGTTTCAGTAATGGAGAAAATATATCTTTACATCAGAATGGCAGCAGTACTAAGGTCAGTCCTGCTGTCAGGAGGAAGTACCAGGGACACGTAGAGCACAGCTGATTCATTTTCCAGCAGCTAATTATGTGGTAGATCCACCTTAGCAATCAGGTACATTATCTCATTTTCATTTTCCAGCTCAAAGCATAACGCAAATTGCGGGGTGTTACTTTGGAGAGGCAGTAACCACTTACGTGGAAGAGGGAAAAAAAAAAAACACACAGCGTGTGTCATCGCACGTTTAACACAGGAAGAGAAACAAAACTGTGGCCACATCTAACTGGGAAGGAGCAGATCTTTAGAGCAGAGTAGTTGGTGCCAAGGACTGAGTCTGTACTGCACACATTTGGGGTAAAGGAGTGGAAAAGAAGAGGGGAAAAGGGTTTATTTCATAATAACTTTTAATTTAGTCCCGTGAAATGAACACCCATTAGTGGCCAGAGCCTGTTACGTGAGCTTTTGAAGAGCATCTTTCAGCTCAGTTTCATTCAAAAGGAATCCAGGTCAGGGACTGAGACAACTCCGTGATATGAACCAAAACACACCAAGCGAGGACAGTCAGGAGACTCACTTCAAAAGCATGCTCCCAACCTGAGCCATGGCAGCAGCACTGGTCCCGGCGCGATGTGGGGTGTGCTGTGGTTCGGCTCTAAGCTTAGCGCGAGGCAGGTCTGAAATAAGCCATGTGCACTCCCAGTTTAGTGACTCACTGAGCATCTTTCTCAGAGGATGTTTTTTTTATTTGACAGTAGGTCCTGATTTATTTATTTTTTTTCCAGCTCCCTGGAATTCACACATTAAGTGTGAAGAAAAAAAACATGGTAAGTAAGGCTGTGTATTTCCCTTAATGAAAAAACAGAGAACAGCACTGAGTCCCAGAGAACTCAGTCGTACAGGTTGGCAAAAAGTAAGATTTACCAGATTACAGCTAACAAAGCTGCAAGAAATTTAAAATAAATAGCGAAGCCTGCTAGCCATGAGCAAGAAGAAAGAGAAGGAAAACAGCAATAATCCACATGGATCATCCACCATTTTGCTTCACTTTTTAAGTTAGGATCATGTTTTATGTCAAGCAAACAAGCAAAATAGTTTCTAACAAAAACTGGAACAGGACAATATAATTTGATTTTTTTCAAGAGAAAATGGTTTTCTATGTTTACCATAAAAGAGGAAAGACTTGGCAAGTTAAATTTCATGCTCAGTTGCATTTTTTTTTTTTAAGTATACATACAATATACAATCAAGGGAAGGGAAAAGGAAAAACTAAACCATTAAAAGATTGGCTTAGTTGACTAAATTACTTTCTGTTGTTCAGTCATCCCTCATCCTTACAGTTAAGAAAACTTGGTTTTGTGTATGTGTCTTTTTTTCTTTTTTTGCCTTATCACCTGAAGGTTGAGAGGATAATTGTATACGTATGAAGGACAAAAAAGTGCTGAAACTATTAAAGGATCAAGCATACAAAGCTGAAAATATTGAATGGGAATTAAGTTCATCATTATTGAAGGACTGGAGTTCCAAATAAACTTCTAAAGAGAAATTTGGCCAGGAACTTACAACTTGATAAATCTTCAGGAGATGTGACAGAAGGAACCCTTTGAACTTCAGAGAGGAACCAGCATTTCTTACAGCCTTGTGGGAGATGTGGTTTCCATTAACATCACAGCCTCACACTTCTGGCAGGCACTCGCAGGGGTCAGAAAGTAATTCTTTCTTCTCCTCCTGCATGCGTAACATCTTTGTCCATAACTTTCTGTGTCCACTCCCATCAACTCTGCCTCCCCTTTCTTTTCTGAATGTCAGAGAGCAACAGCAAGGTAAGTAAGTTTTTTGGGGGTGGTAGTGGTGGTAAGGGATTCTTGTTTTCCACTGTGCATAGTGTATAGTCCTCTGAATATTATGTGGGGGAAAAAAAACACAAATACGTTGCTTTTGGCAGAGTAATATCCCATATGCTTGGCCTCTTTTGCCCTCTTTCTGTGCTGCTTTGTACCATGAAACCTGGTCTTTCACTGACAGCCATCATACATTACTGACAACAAGCATTTTGTATGGGTATAGAGCTTAGGAGTGGTGCTGGCCACCTTGATGAAGCATTTAGCATCATCTGCAACTGCAGAGGGACGAATAACAACATGAATGATCCTTTCTGGTTCTCCCCCTTTCTAGTTAAGAGCATCTATATTCAACTCATTAAGCCATCTGTGAAACAAGTGTGTTACTGTGAGAGCTCCAGATCAGCTTTTCTGATCCAGATCATTTTTGTGGTGGTGTTTGTTACTGACTAGGCCTAAAACTAAAGTTTCAGCTCTCTGAAATGAAGCGTACAATGTCTTTAAGGATAGGATTACAACAACTGTGCCAACAGAAACCTTTTGAAATTACAACGGCAGTGCTCTTCAAAGTCCTCCATTCTTTATTTCCTCTTAATAAGGATCTTCTCATAGAGTACTCCAAGGGTGAGAACACTATTTCTCTACTTTTTTTTTTTTTTAAATGGTGCAAGCAATAGGGAAGACACTTCACAAGCTTGAATAAAATCAATTTGTTCAACTTTCTTGAAAATGTGTCTGTTGTTCATTTATTACAAAGTCTGGCAAGTTACTATTATGCTATAAGCTAACACTACCATTTTCATGGAGTTAATAGCATGACTAACTGCATTTTCTAGCAACTGGCCTAGATAATTTCTACAGATATACAGAATGTATGTGTCATTCAGTTTAAGCCTTTTCCTCACCACGACCAATTACCAGAACTTCAAGGTTTGGGTGGATCACCATTTCACAGTAAGAAAGAGAATTAAACAATTCTCTCATAAGAGAATTAAAATTTTGCGTTAGGTATAATTCCTAATGATGTGACAACTGAAGTCTAAAGCTGCAGCATTGACATTTAATTTTTCATACTCAACACAAAAAAGCTTATCAGCCAGTACTGGGTAACCCTAAAGAAAACAGATGTATAGACTCAGACAGGTGTTCTCCAAAACATTTTAATATAATCTGCATTTGGAGCCTAAACGGAGTATGAGCAGAGAAATGTGTTTGTTATTCCTTTTTAACATTACTGTTAAAGCTAAATTACTTCACGTGAAAAATTAACTGCAATATTTCCATACATGGAGCTAGCCCTGCACAGGAAATTTGTGGTAGAATGAAACACAAAATTAGTTAAAACCAAACGAACAGTAACTTTTCATTCTGCCCTCACTGAGGGTTCAACAACTACATTCATGCCCAAACCCAACAGTTAAGGACAGTCTAATAGGTCTCCCATTAATTTCCTCAAAATTACTTTGAAACATTAAATACCACTCGACTTTATTGCAGTCAAAAAAGATTGAAATTAGTGTTAATTTTATGTAGTCATATTTGTGAACATTTTAAAGCATAGCATGCATTTCACTTGGTGTATTTCAAAGCGTGTGGAAGCTCTTTCAACATATCTTGCCACTATCACCTTGCAGTTGATATAAAACTGAGGAGAGGCACGTTTTTCCTAAAAAGGTTCTTATCCTTTTTAAAAAAATTTGTAAGGATTTTGCTATGGCATTCTTTTTTTTTTTTTTTTTTAGTGATTTCTGTGGCTTTTTTTTTTTAGTGTCTTGTAAAAATGGAAAGAGTTTAATTTTAACCAGTTGCAAAACATTTGTTAAAAGAGAACTTTTTGAGAACTACAGAAATGTACAAAATTACTTCATAACCAGGGACTGCTGTGAAGTATATATGGAAAAGGAACCACGCTGTTGCCTTGCAATTCAGAAAGTGCCATTACACCACACTTAACAAACAGAACAGATACAAGAGGCAACTCGAACCTTGTTACCAGAGTAAGTGATAAAAAAAAAAAACAGGAAGAGAACTTTAGGATTTGGTAGGAACAGCATTTATTTTTTATTAGAGTATTCTTCATCTACCTGGCTGAAGTATTTCAGTTGAAGTCCAAGATGATTGGACAAAAAAAATGAGTATTTTTATCCCCATACCCTCCTTCCAATCCCCAAATGCACCTTAAGAGGTCTCAACAAGCAAGGAGGTATCATTGTATTTAGGGAACCACACTTGTAAACTGTTTAATCAATTTTAAAACCTGTTTCACCTCTGCAGGCCACACATTTTTTTCCACAGTGTTCTCAATGTGTTCATGCATTGGTAGCTCAGAAACAGTGCTTTCATCACAGAAAAGCCCAAATACAAAGAAAAGAAAGTTAAAAGTGACAAAGATTATTTGTGTTCCGAGTGCTTTTTAGTTCCTTGTCCTGACCACAGTGAGTTCAGCTAGCAGTACTACTGTATTTAACATCAGCATGTTTCACTGAAAACATTTTAACGGCCACCTCTGAACAAGTAACAAGACTAAAAGTAAAAAACAAAATACCTGGTCCATGACATTGTTATCTACTACTGCAGTGGAGACAACACTGGGCTGAAACAAGGGCCGTGGGGGCAAATCTGTTACTATCCATTAGCACTGGCCACAGTGGCACGGGCATCTCAGACAGGGGCTGCTGTCCTGACCCACCTTCCTAATCAGCAAATCCTGAACTAATCCCCTGCATATTACCAACACAGGCTCTGTACTGATCTCTTTTAAAATAAAGTAAGAAGTTAAAGAGTAACATAAGCACACCAGGCTATGGAAATGGAATTAAATGCATGAACTCATCCACCTGGAGACCTAAGTCTGCACATCTGACAAAACCGCAACTTAAGAGTTCAGCAAACAGCCTCAAGACTGTGAAAAATTAACTTCTAAATGGATGTGATACACCACAAGATTGATGCATGCTGGTAGATACTTAGACAGTACTACGTACAATAAATCAGTACTTCTATTATGTGTTAGTTCTTAGAAAGAAGAAAAGCAAACAGTTAACAGAATAGGCCCTCCCTGTAAGACTTAACATTTCTCACTAGATTTATGTATTTTTCAATAGTGATATGCTTTCTCCTGGAAATGTCTTCCATTCAAAGATTTGCTAACAATTAATTTTTAGGTTATATTTCTGGACTCAACATCCAAGTAACTAATTTTAAACAGGATATTAGACTGTTACAAAGACAGAAATTTAAACTAAAACCATTAAGGAGCAGACAGATTCCAGAGTATAAAACTGAAGATCTAAGAATTCCTTTTTCTCTGACCTATAGAAAGAGAAGTATTTTTGAGAACTGCTTTGATGTGGACCACTTCTACTGTGGCGTGATTTCTTAACTACCACTGCTTACAAAGTAATATAAGCATAGGAAATCAGAAAATAAGGAATACAAAAGTCAAACTACTGTTCTCACAAGTGACAACTTGAGTGGCATGTGTTTTAATTGTACGGAATCAGAAAGATCCAGCCAATTGAATAGAAACTTACTGCTGCGTATTTGCAAGAGGAACAGGATTTCCTCATTCTCAGAATTTCATAGGATGTACACATGGCATGGGACACACAGGTGAAAGATGCTTCAAGATACGGAGTCTAAAAGTGGCAATACATCAACAGCACTTTCAACATAGCTTTGTTTAAAACCATCCTAGCATGTTCCTCAAGAATGGCTAAACTAACAGGAGCACTAATAGGAACCCTGAAATAGCCAAAAAACAAGGAAGAACTATTCTCAGATGCACTCAAGATATACTCCTCCTCAACCTAATTCACAAAAGACAAAAATGTTCCAACATCAAATCAGAAGTAAAAATTGAAAATGGCCCTCCTATAACAGCTTCACCTTTATCTAATTAATTTGGCTTTTAAATATCTATATAAAACTGACAAAAGCCTAAATCAACTTGCTGAATTTCTGGAGCAAGAAACCCATAGGTATGCTTACGACCTACCACTGAGATGACACCTCAAGTCAACAATATCCAATATGCTAGGCCACTAACCTCGCAAGTAAACTGTATTCTACTCAACAGAACTGAATTTAAGACATTTGCAGGGCTAATGTGCCATTATATATTCTGCTATTAATCAACAGTAAAGTGCTGAATTGTATGAATTACCTGAATTGCACTCACGTTTATGATCTTCAGTTATAGATTTCTTATCAAGTCAAAAGAGCCCTTTCTGTTGTAAAAGCTAAGCTGTTGTGCAAATATTATAAAAATAGGTACTTTAATCAGGAGCTATATACACAACAGAACTTCAGCTTTTCTTTAAGTACAGCTGACACAGTAGAGATGTAAAATTCATGCAAATATTTATAAAGATATTTAAAAATGAAGAAAAAGGGACACTTCTATAGAACTTCCAATACCCTGGCATACAGCCACTTACTATGTTATAATTATATTAGATGATGTCTAGATCTGGACTGAAAAGCATCATGCCACCAACATGCTTTAGTTTCTTTTGTAGCTAAAGTTGATTTGTAAATTTAAACTACAGCATACATTTGATCTACTTCTCATTAAAGTGTATCATTAAGTTTGAGGTTTAACTTTGAGCAAACTTCACATCTAGTCACATAACCAGCACAAGCAAGACAGTAGTGCAAAGGGGAAGGCGTCAGTTGTACACAGCGAGGACCCTTCCCCTAACTGCACGATGCAACAGAACAATTTTCAGATTTAAAATTCAAGTGGGTTACCATGAGAAAATGGGATTTTCTTCTCCCAAATTTAGTACAAATTCCAGAGGATCGAGAGGAAAGCAACCTCAGTAACAGCACTCAAAAAAGTCAAACCCAAGTTTGGAGAACTGTTAAGTAGCTCCAAAATTTGTCATGCTATGAAGACAGCATTCTCAAAAAGAGGTCCAAACAAACTGCAAAACAAAACTGACATTTAGGTCAAAATTGGCCAACTGCTGCATAGAAATATGCTCACACACAACAGTCATGATTAAGCCAGTGCATAGAGAAGATAAAAGCACTTATGGTAGTTGCAAATGTTAACAAGTCCATCCAACTTCAACAGTTTAGCAATGAGTCCATAGAAAAAGAATAGAGTAGAGTAGAAACGCTCAAGCAAAACCAAAAAAAGATGACCTTCCAACTGTATAAAATCCACATTAACAGTTATAGTATAAAGACATCAGTGGAAAATACTCAACTCAGTCCCAAACACCCAACAGGCAAATAAGACCAGAATAGACAAGCCTTTGGCAGACAATTTTAAGAGTCTAAATATGGCATTACATTTCTAATTAACCCACAAAATATATTATATGGCATATATTAAATACTGGGTAACCAACTCTGCAGATCTGATGCTAACAACACTTTAGCCAATGAAAGCAAGATGGAGCAAGCTAAGGGAACGCTGGTGTACCACAACAGTGCTCAAGGAAAACACAGTCACCAAATCGTGCTTCAAAAACAGTACTCTGGGGCTCCGCGCTATCATCTGTGGAGCAAAACAAAGTCCTCTAGTTTTTCAGGGATGTGGCCTGTGTAGTATATGTTATGATTCGCTATAACACGAGCAGCCAGGCACTGCAACGTAGTATGATTTATGGGCTGGATTAAATTCTTTGCTATTTCCTTCTCATCCAGCAAATCGCTAGCAGTTTGTTTATGTGAGTTTGTGGCATCGAAGTGCGAACCTGACTTGATGAGAAGATTCATGATGTCTGGATGGTTGTTCAGTGCAGCAATGTGTAACGGACTGTTGTTATCAGAGTCTCTGACATTTACATCAGCACCACATTCCACCAGGATAGCAGTAACTTGTAGAGAAGGGAATTTACAAACTGGGTAGCGACCCACACATGTAGTATTATTGTCAACAGCAAGGTGAAGCGGACTGAAGTTATTTTTCCCTCTAGGCTGAAGCTTAAGAAACCTGTAAATAGTCTGTTTCTTAAAATACTCCTGTTCTGAGCTGCAAGGTACTTTCTCCAACAAGCAGATTAAATGCAAAATAATGGATAGGGCTTTGTTCAACTGTATTGGATCAGGAGGACACTGGGTTTGTTTCATGGCCCGCTCTATTTCTAGGACACTTTTGCACAGTATGCCCATCAGATCATCAAAGGTAACAGTAGTGCCCAGTAGGCCTTTCGCCCTATCCTGCAGCATGAAGGAGAAAAGCTCAGCAAATGACAGCAAACTGCTGGCCGTCATAGGGCTCAGCGGATCTAAGTTGTTCTGCTGCATGTCCAAAGCGTATTTCCATAAGTTGATGCAACGCTTAAAGTTTCCAGAGTCTGCATAGACAGCACCTCTATATCTAATGTAGTAGGATGTATCTGGGTGAGAAGGGCCAAGAATACGTTCTCTAATCAATAGTGCCTGCATTCTCATTTCGTCAGGATCTGCAATAAGATTTTCTAGCTCTTCTGAGCTGTTTACCTCTTTAGCATAATCATAGGCCATAATTAGTGTTTGTGGCACAGGTTTGCTCAGGATATTAGTCCTGTCACTGTATCTCATCTCCATAGCTCGCTTCCAGTATTTCAAAGCACCAAGCAGATCTCTCTTTTTGTCCACAAACGTTGCTCCTAGAAGTTCCAGGGCGTTTATGCATTCAGCCTTACTGGTCTGTACGTGCTGGGTCAGAAAGTCCACGATATTTGTGTGGCCTGTCACACTAGCTGACAGCAGGGGAGTCATTCCATAACCATCCTTTTCCATTTTAGCACAATACTTGAGAAGCATCTTCATGATCTCCAAACTTCCAGATTCTGCACAATCGTGTAATGCGGTGTTTCCTAGTAAGAGAAAAAAATCAATTACACAAACAATTAAATTATAGCCTAAATCCAGCAACGTTAAGTGTTAAAAAAATACTTTGACATCTATGGTCTATGAAAGGCTTAAATGAAAAGTTAAATATTTAAGATTGACTAAAATACCAAGGCTACAGGGAAGTTAAACAAATCAAAATGTTTGATATTTTATTGCCTGAAAGATTTAAACAGGTCTTAAGATCCTTTGTCTCATTACTCAAAAAACAAAAACACAACAAAACAGAGTAAAAACAGAGTCCTCCCTTACATACGAGATTTTTTTAAATCTGCTTTCAAATATGAAACAGAAAACTAAGCTTGCTAATCTCCATGTTGTTGTATTTTTCCTTCTCCCCTCATCAAGTTTCCTTCCTCCGTATCTCTAGACATAATTAAAAATGTGATCTGCATGAAAATTAAAGCTGGGCTAACTCAACACGAAGAAAAAATGTCTTCAGCACAACATGCAGCCATCTATCTTGTGTCTTATCATTTACATTCAGATTATTCTTCTTAAGCCTGTCATTGCATATTCTCTAATTTAAAGGCACTCCAGTACTAACAGTGTGTTGAGATTTCTTGCAAGCACTAAAGCCACTTCACTGAAAATCACGTACACAGCAAATCAGAAAGAAAACATCAGGCACAACAGTTAAATATTTAGCTATTATGATTCAAATAGATGAAAATTTTGCTCTGTTTCAAATATGAGCACTTCACTGGAAGAGAAGGGAAGACGACGGATGATAAGCTCTCCTGATCCTCTCCCAACATAAAGCCTCATGCCACTGGTTGTTCTTAAACCACACAATTGAAACCCACCTTGTTCTTTATACATATTGTATGTACTACAGATTCAGGCTTACCAACTTTTCAATCTCCCACTAAATCAACACGAAATAATTTACAGAAGGCTCATGTAACTACCCACCACCCCCTCCATTAATTTTTCTTACATATCAGCACTGCAAAATCCTAGTTAACTGGTTATCAGACCATCCATGTCTGTTACACTGTCAGCAAGTTTCTGTAGTCTCAAGTGAGACCTTATCCAAAGGCTGTCTGTCCATTTATAGTCATCGACTTTTGCCTTTAAAAACTGAAAGGTTTCCTAAAACTTCCTTATTTGAATTTTTGGCTGGCTTTTTTATGCCAAAAAGACAGTGATTTGCAGTTAGCTTTGCTGTTTCTGGAAAACAACAAACAAAATAATGTAACATTAATTCATACAGTGAACTTGACTTGCAATATATTATTTTCCTGATAAATTTTGCAATAGCTGCCAATTATTTTATTATCACTTCTTAAAAAGTAAACAGAGGATGACACCCAACACAAAGTGGCACCTGAAATTATCTATTAGATCAAGACTCGTGAAACTAAATCCAGGTCATACAGCGGCAAGTGATTTTCAAATGTTAATACCTTAGGCAATTATTGTCAGTAATGGAGAGTTTGAAGTCAGGACTGGTTTGCTCACACTACAGCCTCTACCAAGACTAACAAAGATTTCAACCACAAGAACATATTTTTCCAAATTCAGATAGGTTAGAAGTTTGGCACATGTAGTTTATCAAATGTAATCCCCTCTCTCTGTACCTCAGTATTGACAGGCATGAGACCTTCAAATTCCCAAGATGGAATGAGGTCACAGGCAGACAAACACACAAGAGGAACTTGCCAAAATATACACGTTATGCAATTCTTCTTGCTGTGCTGGGGAAATCCAGTTAAAACGCAACTACAGCACCCAAAGTGCTGCTCCCTGTGCCATCGGCACTTCAGTGTTTTGTGATAGCAGCAAAGCCAGACGTGTCTGGGTGCTGGCTGAGCCGTCAGCTAATGCAGCCGTTTGAGGGGGTGTTCAAGTCCACATCCCATCCTTCACAGCAGAGCTCCACAACACTGGAATCGGCACTTGCTTTCTCCCTTCAGGTCAACGTTTTTAGGAAATTAAAAGAAGTCATAACACAGAAGTATGTTAACAACAAATCACGCAAAATACCAGAGCATCACCAGAGTTCTTTCAATGCTTTGACAATTAATTCACTTTGCTGGCTTTGACAATTGAATCCATGGTAGCTATTCATACCACACACTGCAGATCCATCACCATATAATGCTGCTCTTGAAACTCTTATCAGTTGCCAGGCTTATATCCTATGACACAATAATACTTATACCACACTCTAAGCTTAGCCACTGCCTGGGTAAATTCAGGTCCAATCCAACAACTTAGAATGTCACTAACTTATGGCACAGCCTTGCAGGACATGTGGGAGTATGCCTAGAACCCCAAGAACTTGACTAATCTTTCCAATCAGACTGTCCTTCGTTAGAAAAAAGATAATGTTAGTATTACAATTGACTTAAACAGTAGTTACTGACAGCATTATCAGAATCAGGGTATTTTTTTCTAGCTCCCTACACTGCAGTAGCCCTTGGTGACCAGAGCTACTTCTAACAATGGGCAGACTGAAAAAGGAAGACCATCACCACTAACTTTCAGCCACTGCACCTCACTTAATTTGACTGGATGGTGTAAGTACTGCAGTAGAAAGGAAATACTGCAGTACTTGAGAGATGTGGCAGTGGCCTTACAGCAACTATGTCTACATTCCACATACTGCCCAGGAGTTGAACAGCTGAAATAAATGAACCATTATTATGAATTTAAAAATTTCATCCATTTCAGAAACACTATCTGGTTTACAGTTACAGGAATAAACAGTGGCTAAACATTATCTATCCATTTCAGAAGCCAATCGGTCTTTTTGTAATGTATCTACTGCTGTATTAAAAAGGAAAAAGATTGAAAGTAAGGAAGTTTTTTAAAAGTTATTCTCTGATAAGCATTTTTCTAAAGGGCAAATAACTTGAATTTGACCAACGTCTTTGTTACGTGGCTTTGTTGTGGGTTTTCTTTATTGTTGTTAGTTGCTTTTTAATTGTGCATGAATAATTCAAAAAAGAATTCATTAGATTTTGTTAAACTACTTTCCATTCTGAAATAATCTGCGGGAATTTGATCACATATAGAAGACTGAGCCTTTCATGCTGCTTAATAATCAGCATCATTCTTGCATAGGAATGAAATTGGACTGGCAATGTTACAGCAGGCATAGTACTTCTCTGCTAGGAATTGAATGCCAGGATACTGCATTGCTAATACTGCTTATAAGCTGTTTCTGTCTGTATAAAAAAAAAAAAAATCACTATTCACATTACCTAATAACTTCCTCTAATTAAAAAGAACAACAAAATAAAAAGGGAATAACCATCATCTTCAGTCCTCCTAAATCTTGCAAGAACAGATAAGGGATAAAGTTAGGGTCAGTTGACATCGTAGCTGCACATTTCATTCTTTTGTCACAGTCCTTCTTTAAAAGTATTATGAATATTACGCAATCACTACTATGTAACCCAGATTTAATTACCTAATTTTCCAGTATTACAAAAAGCTAATTGGGGTGGGGACTCAAATTTACAACGAGGTTGTGTCTTTCTGTGTCAAAACAAATAATTCCCAAAACAGACTGGTAGCTTGTGACACAGCAATGAAAGAAAAACAACAATGACACAAAGTGATTTGACTTGATTTGCAAACAATATCAAGTACCTCCACTTCTTTATTACATTTTTAATATATAGAATATTACTTCCTTATTTAATAAATAAATAAATAATGCCTGATCAGATTTCTGGGTAGTAAAATTTATTATCAGTCTGATTTCATATCCGGGATCTGTTCCTGAAAATAAACACAGAGCTGTTCAACATTAGATAGAGGAGAGAAAAAATTTGATTGACTGACCAGCGTGTAAAACCAGCCAGATACATCTATTTTTGCAGCCTTACAGATAAAATTAATCACTCTTTTAAAAGTGAAGCTGTTCATGTAACACTGATTTTCAACACTGCACTGGAAGCAATTAAATCCTTCAGCAGCTGTACTTTTTTTAAAAAAAATATGTATTGATATATACTTACAAATGTGGACAGTGCACACAAATCCCTTTACATCTTTACACTCAGTAAGCATAACAAAGAAAAGCTAAAGGCATGTCTTCCCTTCGAGAAGAAATCTAGTAAAAATTGCAAAGCATTGCTAACCTCAACAAGTTTTAATCTACTTTCCACATTCTGTAAAAGAATAATTGCTCCCCTTGCTCACAAAATTATTTCAGGATAACTTGTATCATCAAAATTCACAGCATAAATCTCATTTTTAACCATTTAATTTCAACATAATCTCCTTTTTAGTGGAAATAAAAAAGAAATATTTGTTTAAACTCTTTCCTTATTTAATCTTCCTTATTTTATTTACAGACATTTGTACTGAAGTTTTCACATACCATCACACACAAAATATCAACAAAATGCAGTGCACTGTGTCATGCAATATTAACCAAAAAAGGAAAAAAAAACAACCCAACCAAAATAATAACTAAAAAAAAGGCACAGGACACTTTTAGAGCAAGGCCTTTACTCACAGGGGAAAAAAAATAAATCTTTGTTTAGCTTTTGTTTCCCCAAAAAAATGAATCTTGGCAAGTATACAAGACAAAAAAAAAAAAAAAAGAGAACAAACCTGTCAGACTCCTTAATGTTTACTGCAAGGGAAAATTAATTATTTTTAATGCATACTAAACCACTCTGATCATAGAGGAAAAAGTGGGAATCTACCTAATCCCTGTATTTCTTAGCCTAATTCTGTAAAAGATTTTCTCCTTCCCAAGAGGTTTGAGCATTATGCTTCCCAGTCTCCCACACAAACAATAACACGGAAACAGCAGTAGCCCTTGTCACAGCACCGCTGTGTGTATAACCTTGATAAACTACCTGCAGTGACTGAGGTCCGTACGCTTCTGGAGCTCCCAAACTGAGCAAGCAAAGTGAACAAGCCTCATCCTTTGTGCTATGTTATAAAGCTATTCTAAAATATGCTAATATGAGCTGTATGTAGTATAACTTTACAAGATTTTGAATTACAGTGTTGTTTTGCATTTTCAGAATGCATGCCTTCCTCTGACTGCTATGGTATGGTGGTACAGAGGACCATAAATGACAAAAACTGTGCTTTCAACCGAGCATTCCTGTGCAGATCTCAAGAAGATCCTAAAGGAATGCCTTGTCCAGCAGTTCTTACAGCATTTTCTAATACTTCAGAGGGGGAAAAACTAGTCTTGTAGCTAGCAGATGTGTCTGCTAACAACAGGAGGGGGACTGGGTTAGTGAAGACCATCAGTAAAACACAGGAATATGACGCTGAAGACAGAGACCACATTCCAAGCGGCTGAGCAATGGAAAGAGTTAGAAGCCATGTTCAGAAAAAAAAAAAAAAAAAAAAAAAAGCAACACCTCCCTTTCAAGAAGATACTCTGGAAAAAAAGAGTCCTTATTCCCCATGCCATTAAGACCATCCAGGCTATCACTGCTTGTGTACCTTATCTATTATTCAACTTCTTAATTGCAGAAAAGGAAGGAACAAATCTACATTATTGCAGCAGGACTGGAAGAAGAGGATGAAGAATAATGCAGATTATCAAAACGTGCATAGCCCACACTCATAAAGCAAGACCTATGTGTTTTGTCTGGAGTCAGAAGTACAAGATCTCTTTTAAATGGTCTGCAAGCAAAGTAGTTTTTTGGGACAATTACAAAATAATTTAAATATAAAATCCAGTTCTGACAAACATGACCCGATGTGTATCAACAAGAACGCTCAAATCTGTAGTCTGAAGGCATGGCCAAGACTGCTACCACCTGAATTACAACAGCAAGCATTTTCCTCCCTGTGCTGACCTGCTGGTCTCAAGACGACTGTGCACAGAAATACGTCAGTGAAACTGTATTGAGGAATCCAGAGGACTGTTCCAATGCTGTCAGACAGCATTTAACTTACAGATTGCTGGCAAGATTGGCCATGCAGATGAACAGAAAACCGCACGGAGCCACAACGCAGAAGCTTCCCTCCTCAGGGGAAAGGGCCACCTCTTGGGTTCCACCTCCTCAGGAGAAAAACTCAGGTTTCTGCTACTGTAGCATTTATTACCCACCCTGTTCCTCCTTTTAAGAGCAATGTAAGAACTTTAGGATGTAAGAGTTGTTTGTTTTTTAAAATAATAATTAGTTATTTTAGATGTTTTATACCATTAAAACTTATTAAGATTTGTTACTTTTAGTTTGTAGCTTCTCCAAGCAGGAGTAACATCTCTGAGAAGCCTCTGAAATTGGAAGATTAAGCCGAATTAACTCACTTGAGAAGCGTTGCTTTGGCTGTTTTTGCTTTTACTAAAAAATAAGAAAAATAAAAGATACCTGCAGGTATCTCTGTTATTTCCCATAGCTCTAATAGGAAAAAAAACACCCTTCATAACACACTTATGACTTTCCCCCCCTCGCTTATGTGGTTTGTGTAACCTAATTTTTCTTAGTCTTTTGTTTTCATTTTTGTTGCCTACATTCCTCACAGAACTTTCGGGCAACTGTGAGAGTCAGATCTGCACAAAATCAGATGAAAGCCAACAAAATGCTCGTATTTTAAATACAGAACTACAGCCCATTTTTCCCAGTACTGCACTTACATACCCCAAACAACCTGTTATTGCCTTCTTCAACACCTTCTCCTGAGAGACAGTGCCAGACCTACACCTCACCTCACTGTAGCCTGTTACCTGACTCAGACTCTGAAGTTTTTATGGATGCCCTAATCACGCCCTAGATGTACTTTTGCACTTCCCTAACTCTCCTTCAAGAGCCTTTGTGTTCTGAGTTTCAGTAGTCCTAAACACTGTTGCAGGATTTTACCCATATTTTAGAATTAGAATTTCACTACGTTTTTCAGCTGCTCTTTTACACCCTGCCTCAGCAGTCATCCAGATTTTTAGTAATCTGTGACCATACCAATTTTTTCATCTGAACGTATTTTGAAGTTTCCCTGGAACTACCAACATAAACATCTTTATACCTTTTTCAGCCCTAGAATTTCCCAGTTACGAAAATGTGAATAAAATCCTACCTTACAATATCAAATTCCGGTGTAAAAAAACACAATGGGTGGTTCAAACCCTTTCCTGGTTTTGAGAATAACTGGAAAACAATCTGTAATTACCTCCCACAACAGCACTTTTCCAAAGGTACCTCCACGAAAGCTCCATAGCTTTGTTCCTGTGAAGAGGTTTGTAATTCTAATTGCTGAAAAAATTTCTATTAGGTAAAGCTTTTACTTCTTTCACAGAAAAGGGCTTCCCCCTGAACGGCCCAGGAGACAGCCCATCTAAAGTTCAGATACAGGGACTGCAACAAGTTTTCCTACTCCAAATCAGACCACTCAAGTTCTTTTTACCTCCTTACTACACCACCCCTATTTTTTGTCTGTTCTTTAATGAACAGCTGGGTGAAGCAAAAAAATGAAAATAACTTTCATTTGAGACTTTGAGACCAGAGACTTTGAGGGGGAATGTGATAGTGTAGAATAAATCCTGTTGGAAACACTCATTTTGAAACTAGCTGCTACTGAGCATTTTTTGCAAAACAAAGTTCAGAAGGTGAGCTGTCGAGCCTCAGCCACCACAACACCCATACCGCTGTAAAATTTAAGGCTACCCAGTTTGGCTCAGTTCTTCGTCTTTCCGCAGCTGACATTCACTTTCAGGTTTTACAGTAGTTACTTTCTCTCTTCCTCTACCTTGTCACTGCTTATTAAATAAGTTCAGAGATCAGACAGGCTTAAGACATCAAAAAGAAGAACACTCCTGTCACATGAGAGAGGATTTCCAAACACAAAAAGGCAAACCATACCTGACCAATAGGTAACATTTACACACATCCATTTGTGCGCTCTGCATTTCAAAGTATAAAATTAATTTTAGTGATCTAAAACATATCTAATCCAACTTCTTTATTTTTAATCAGTAAAGATCTGTTATACCTTGGGAACTTTTGGTTAAGTGCTCAAGATGCGAGTCACACCAGAAACTAAAAGAAGCATAGAGAGGAAGGAATTAAGATAATAAAGAAACTGAGAGTGATGAGAAAATCCTTAGGAAAGCACATCTGCCTTCAAGTATTTAAGCAAAGAAACAAAAAAAACACTAATGCAGTAGAAAAGTAAATAAGAAGGACGAATAAATTAAAGCCTACTCTACTGACACAAAATGAAAGAAGAGCCACAGATTTTTTCTTTCCCTGTTACATCAGAGGCTTAACAGCTCTGTTCTACCCATACCTTTCATACGAAGGAATATGTTCAAAAAAAGGATGCACGTTTTATGCTTAGCTTGTTATTCCACTAACCCTGTCTAGAGAAAAAATGACATTTTTGTCCTATCACAAGTCCATGATGATTCATAAGCAAACTTAAATCCTTACAAAGGAAGATTTATTTTGCTCTGCCCACCTCTATGACAAATCGGTAGTTTATCTTGCTTTACATTAACCCCGCATATCTGATGATTTGCTGAAAGAAAGCATACTTAGCTGAGCAGCTTTTTCAAAGAGATCACCCTCACATTTGGTATTTAACAGTATCGTATAATAATCTAAACACAAAGTAAATTTTGACATAAATTAACTGTATAGTATCCTGTTACACATATAATTTAGCCTTAAATAGACAAAGTATTTTGTTACAGTAATAACTAGTAACATAATATAAAAAACAAACTGCTGAAACACAATCCTGCCTCAGTGAGTTAAAAATTAACTGTAACCTGAAATACTTGGCATGCTTTTTAGGCCAGTATCACATTCACCTAAGAGTCCAACTTGTGAAGAAAAAAAACAAGTGGTTAAACCAAGGAGCCCACAAAACTACAATCACAACCAAGTGAGAGAAACTGTCACTTTGACAGAATAATTGCAAAACAGGGGCAGAGACACGTCCTTAGTGATCTGTGCAACCCTGGAAGTCCTTCTGTTGCCGTCATAGTCACCTGAAGCCTCATTTCTTTAATCCTAATACGTGTTTTTGTTTTGACGTGGAAAAGGAAGGGCCCAAAAGGATTCAAGAATTTGAAGGGAGAGGTGGGTGAAGAGCAAAGTAGTTACTCATTTCCAAAGTAGAAAATATTTTTTCTTCTTTGTGAGTCTTTCCCCACTATAGTCTTAGTGGCATAAGCCAGTTTTAAGTACAGCCTGTTTGTTTGTTTGAAGAAACAGCATGAAAACAAATATATGCTTGGACCGTACTACTACACAAACAGACAAGTGTTTACACAGCTTTACACAAAAAAAAATTACACAGTTTACACAAAGTTTATTAGCTTTTCCCATGTTCGTATGACTTTAAGAATTTGAAGCTTAAAATTAATCAATTTAGAAAGAAGTTACACAGTCACTGTTAACAAGGAAGTATGCTGAAAAAAAAAAAACCAACACAGTAGAAACACGGCTAAATATGCTTCATCTCTTACTCATCCATACGATGAGACTGGAAGAATATTTCTGGGTGCTCGCAGCCTCCTAAAGGAGGAGGAGGAGGGAGTTCTACCCCTCTTTACCACAAGGAAAATAAAGCGATCGACTTACCCTTAACGCTTTTCCTGTTGACATCAGCTCCCTTCTCGAGCAGATACTGGGCGATCTCCTTGTGGCCTTTGTAGCAGGAGATCATCAGGCAGGTGTGCCCGTGGCGGTTCGACACCTCCAGGTCCGCCTTGTGCTCCACCAGGTACTTCACGATCTCCAGGTGCCCGTCGAAGCAGGCGGCCCGCAGCGGGGTCGAGTTGGTCAGGGTGGTGTTGTTGACCGAGGCGCCGTGGTCCAGCAGGCACTGGACCACCTTCAGGTGGCCGGCAGCCGAGGCCGCCCAGAGCGGCGGGGCCCCCTCGATGGTCTCGCCATCGAAGTTGACCGAGCCGCCGACCTCGATGGAGGCGGCGCAGTGCTCCAGCAGGTACTCCACCATCTCAAGGTGACCGTAGCGGGCCGCCATCAGCAGCGGCGTGGCCCCGTTGGTCTTCTCCGACACCAGCACCGCCACCTCCTCCCGCGTCTTGCTGGCCAGCAGCTTGGAGAGCAGCCGCAGCTTGCCATCGCGGGCCGCGTTGAACACGGCCGTCTTCAGATCCATCGGGCCCCGCTCCGCCGCCGCTCTGCCCCCTCACTGGCGGCACCACCGCCGCCCGCCGCCTCCTCGCGCCTGGGACATGGGTTGGGGACGACAGGGACAACGACGACGACAGCGACGACGACGACAACAGCACCCAGCGGCCTGCCGGCGACCTGCGGAGCACGCAGACGAGTCGCGACCGGCGAGTCGCGACAGACACCGCCCCCCCCCCCCCCTCAGAGCCCCCCTCAGAGCCCCCCGAGATGGCGGCGGGGCGCGCACCCCCCCGCTCCACTCCGCTCCCCTTCGGCTCCCAACCGCCGCCCAAGCCCAGCACCCGCCCCCCATAACCCCCCATAGCCCCCCATAATTCCCCATAATTCCCCATAATTCCCCACAACTCCCCACAGCCCCCCCGGCCCCACCGAGCCCCGTGAGGCGCCCCCGGAGCCGCCGTTACCTCCCCGCGCCTCAGAGCGCAGCGCCCCGCCGCGCCGCCATGACAGCCCGACCGCCAGCCGCGGCCCTGCCAGCGGGCGCAGCGCAGCCCGAGGAAGTGCGGGGGGGGCCGGCCCGCCGCAGCCAATGAGAGAGAGGCGCGGGCGCCCGACAGCCAATGGAAAAAGGGAGGGGGCGGGACTAGGCGCGGCGGGAGGGAGGGCTGCCCCGAATGGCGGCGGGCGGGGCCGGGAGGGGAGGGGAGGGGAGGGGCGGGGCGGGGAGGGGAGGGGACGGGAGCGGGGCCGCCATGGCGGGGCGCTCGCCTCAGGGCAGCGGCAGCAGTGGGCGGCAGGACGGGCTCCTCGCCTCACGCCCGTGGAGCTAGTGGGCTGCCCGGCTCCAGGAGGCATCAGGGGGCTTCCCGGCTGGAGCACAGCCCGGCAGGGCTCTGCCCTCCTGCCCCGCTCGCTCACAGCCCCGTGGCGGACATTTTGCGGCTGTATCCGCAGCCCTGGCTCCAAGGGTGTGAGGGAGAACACGGGGGGCACCACACAACGCCTGATTTTTTCCTCTTTTTTTTTTTTTTTTTTTTTTTCATACAGAGTTTGTACAAACTCCCATTGAAACCATTCTGGGACTCGCATTAGGTTTCCAGTCAGGGCGCCTGTTGTAAAGCACTAAATCACTTCACATTATCCATCCAGGTCTTTGTGTCCCAAAAGGGCAGAGGAGGACGAGTGCAGAGCTGTAGGTTCCCTTCTCTTCACATCAGGCCGCGCAAAGGAATGAACCAAAGAAAAACCTAACCCACACCTCAGCTCTTAGCTTAGGCACTGAAACCAATGCGTCTGTATTAACATGGAAATTTCTGCAAATTTTTGACCTTGCTTTTCATCGCGGCCCAGGGGCACCCGCAGCATGGCTGTACTTCTGCTAACACACATCTCCATGATGCATATTGCAAGGAGCCATGCTCCAGGTGCTCTGTGTAGCTCATGTCCTGCCTCGGCTGTACCCAGTCCCCTACACCAGCCTGGCTGAGGGTGAAATCGGGAACTGTGTCCTCAGGCTGGAGCAAGGGCTGATGAGGGTGGACACACACTGAGAGGGAGAGGTCTGGTCCCCAAGTACCTCATTTCAACAGGGAAATGAGCATCTCTGCCCGTGTGCCCAGGAGAGTAAGGATATCACATTGTTTCCAGAGATGTCAGCTGAGCTGAGCTTTTACCTCCATAACCTCCTTGAAAACCATTCCAATATTTTGCATGCTGATTTTCTGTAGTCGTACTGAGAACTTGGAGAGAGAAATAAGAAAATGATAATCCATTTAGTTCTAATTCTTAAAAATACTTGCACAGATCATGCCAATTTTCTATGCTATTAAACTATATATATGCACACATGCATGTATGTGTATATAATGGAGATGGTTTATAGGTTAACTTCCCTAAAATATGTACAGTGGTTTAGCGATGGAAATATACTGCAGGGAACAGGTGCTGTACCACGTGTTATGGGTATTTCTGAAAGGTACAAACAAGGCAAGCTTGCAGATGGCCTCATATGCGTGCTTTTTAACAGCCTGAAGTGTCTGCTGAAATATTTCCTCTTCTCTCTCTCCATGGTCTCTGGTGCTAATTCAAGGGCCTGAAAGTACATTTACAGAAGTTGCAGTTCCCAGGGATTCTGACATCTCTGCTGTTAACAGTGGTGGCAGATGTGCACCTAGCTTTAGGTCAGCATTTGCCGAGCTTGTCAAAACAGAATTTCCCTCTAAGAAAGCAAACTCAATTTTCTTCCTCTGCTGGCAACCTGTGAGGAGAAGCTGAACTAGCTGTTATTGTTCAGCCCGGAGGAAAGAAGACTTGGGAGGTGAAAGGAGATGTGGGGCTCTTTTCAGTGGCGCCCAGTGCCAGCACAAGAGGCACTGGGCACCAGCTGGGCACAGGAGGCTCCCTCTGAACACCAGGAGTGCCACTTTGCTGTGCGGGTGACTGAGCACTGGCACAGGCTGCCCAGAGGCTGTGGGGTCCCTCCTTGGGGATCTCCAAAAGCCCCCTGGACGTGGTGCTGGGCACCCTGCTCTGGGTGGCCCTGCTGGAGCAGGGGTTGGAGCAGTGGAGGTCCCCAATGACCTCAGCCCTGTTGTGACTGTGTGTTTCTGTGTCCTCCTAACATGCATTGTGAATGACCTGCACGCCTGAATTCGTGCATCCATTCATACACTCCAGCTAGCCTGTGTGTGACCATATGTTGCCTCTCTGATGACAGTATTCTGGCTTTTTGGGAGAGGCTGTGGTAGGCTGCGTAGCAGATCTGAAGCAGCAAAACCTGTAAATTTAACACAGCAGAAGTTGAACGTAACAAAAGCAACTGCCAAAAAGAAATTATCTCCCAGAGCAACATTTGCCACTTGCAAAATATTCTCATATTCATCAGTATGGTTGTTTCAAGTCATCAGTTGGCTAAGCTGTAGATAGCAAATGGGTTAAAAATTAGCCTGCTGTGCCCTTACCATGCCATTATTAGACAGAGCCGGTGATGCTCATGCTGCTAGACCAGGAGTGAACCATGCTCTGCTGTGGTGGGATCCTCCACCTAAGCAACACTGGGCATGCACAGTGGCTTCACATACAGGTGATTGGTGACACTAAACCTTTGCTCTGTTAAAATCTGGGTCGTGTCCCTGTGACACCAAGGCCTCTCGTGTCCCGCAGGCTATACCTGTTCTGGTATGTTACACAAGTGAAACCCCAGAGGAGGCTGCCCACCGTCTCTGCGCTGCCCTCCTTTACCCCATCAGTGTTGTCCTCCTGCTCTTTTCCCTCCTTTGTGCCCAGGCCAAGGCAAGGACAGGCCTGACAGCGCTGGTGAAGATACACAGAACTGTAGTTAATAAACTCACGAGATTTCGACAGTGGGTGGAATAGAAAATACATAACATCCTCTGCTTTCTAAATATAGAACAGACATTTCACCCACCATGAAGCCTACCAGGCTAGAGGTGGCATTTGGCAACACGCATATTCAGCTCCCTCAGCTCATCAGAGCAGCCCCCTCCACTAATTCCCCAGAATACTTCCAGAAAAAGAAGGGAGCTGAGGCAGGCTCTGGGGAGTCCCAAGCGTTGGAAGCAAGCATCTCTGCGGTAAAGCTACTTCCCCGCAAGTAGGTGTCAGCAGAAGGGGTAAACCAGAGAAATGCTGCCTTTACCGAACGCAATGAGGGACAAAAAAAAAAAATAGAGCACCAGGCAGCGGCCACGATTGCGACACGGGTGTGTGGTGGTTTCTGCAGGAGCTGCGGGGTGGCTGGGAGCACCCTGAGCATGCTGCTGCTACGCCAGCCCCGGACCTTGGCTGCAAGTGCCAGCGGTGCCCCTGCCTTTTAGCTGTCCCCAGCTGCCACCAGCAGTCAGCAGCAGCATCTTGCAGCTTGGACAAGGCTGGTGACAAGGGCCACCAGCACACAGCGGTTTCTGGCTGCGTGGGTGTGTGCAGGAGTGGGTTTCTTCTCTTGTTTTCTGCCTTCGGACCATGTACGCCAGCAGCGGGTCAGACACAAGCCTGCAGCCTCTCAACCCTGTGAGTCGCTTCCTATTAGACCACAAACTTTTCTGTGCATCTGCCTCTGACTGCAAGCTCCAGGTCACTGCAGGAGAAGCAGAGGGCATGGGCCAGTTGGAAAGCCATTTCCAAGCCCAGCTTTGCTCTAGGTTAGGAGGCAGTGGGTTTTTTTTTTTTGTGACTTGGGGCTCAGCCATTGACTTTCTCAGTTCTCTTGTGCAGGGGTGTCCCCTCCACCTGTCTGTGTGGTCTGCTCAGAAAGACCGGTGACATTTCCAGGGCGGTTCTTCTCTTGGAGCTGCTGCTGGCCATGGTGAGCCCCAGACACCCAACCTGCCTTACCTAAACCCTCAGGACCCGCAGCAGCGTGCCAGAATGGTGCAGGCTGGAAGGGACCTCTGAGGATCATCCAGTCCAATCCCTTAGCCAGGGGGTTTGCATTTTTGAGCCAGTCTGCAGCAGACACCCCTGTAGATAGTTCCCTGCACATCTAGGCGGCCTGTTCTATTCCTCCAGCATATGAGCATCCACTCTTTTTTATTTTATTTTATTTTTTATTTTTTTTTCTCCTGCAGATTAGGTTACCAAAACACATTTTACTAGGGCTTCTTGCAAACATGCCTCGGAAGACACACTTGGAGCAGATTGGAGCTGCTTGCTTGCTTTTTAACAGTAACAGCACTGAGCTTATTAAACATCTTCTCCACAGATGGCCTTGGTTCATTTAGGAGTTATAGATTTCTTGGATTTGAGCCACTAGTACCTTGAGTACACAGCCACAGTCCTTCCCTTAGGTACCCCCAACTCTGGCTGTCAGCCAGGGAGCTCAGGCAAACCATCCCCAGCACTGAAAAATGAGGAGAAGGTGTGGGAAGGGTGAGGAGCTGTATCTCAGTGAGGTTTTTTTTCCCCTTCTAGTGGTTATGCCAAATGAGAATGGCAATTTTCCGAGAAGAAGAGCTTCTAGTTTTACCCTGCCCTTTCTCTGCGGGATGAATGCAGGGCGGGGTGACGTGGCAGCTAGGTTTCACATTTGCCAAGTAGATTGGGAAGCATCTGAGACCTGTGCCAGAGATTTTGCAACATGAATGTACATTTAAGAGAGGAAAAACAGCAAATGGCTTATTCCACTTAATAAGTCTTGGCAAATAAAACACAGGTGGCGATGTAAGGATCTGTGTCCCTGCTTAGCAGCTGCAGATAGCAGGACACAGAGGTTGCTGCTGAGCTTTCAGAGCTCTTTGAGCACCACTGGGGTGGAAGGGATGCAGCAGAGAAACTTTCCAATGTGCTTCCTGTGCTGTTCAGCACCCGCACACCAAGCAAGGTGTCTCCTCATGTGAGCCACCCAGTAAGAGGTGGGTCAAACCAGGGGGTCTCTGCAGCCCCCCTGTCCCATGCTGTAGCGACAGGAGCCCTTCACAATGCTCAGCATCCCCAGGATCTGTCCCAGTCTCTCACCTCTGCCAGGTCAGGGCGTACAGAGGGGACAGGTGGTGGTGTGGTGGTATCTGGGACCTCCAGAGGGAGGAGGTGGTGCAGAGGCTGCTGACTGCAGCCTGCTCTGATGCAGGCGGGAGTCTGCAAATGCTATAGTCATGGCAACAGCGCTCCAGATTCTCCCGGAGAGAGGTAATTCAGCTTCGGGCTTAATTCCATGCATCTGGTGTGTTGTGCAGTGCTGTTCACCCAGCAGCACGCTCATGACTCTTTTACCATAGCGGAGGTGGGGTGGGGTGACCCAGCTAGCCTCTCCATCAGTCGCTTCCACAGGAGTGAGACAGGGGCAGGTCACAGCGGGACGACACAGGCATTCCTTCATCATTTTTAGTGCAGGATCCAAACTTCCTCCTTTTGCCACAGTATCCCTGCATGCCCTTTTAACACTGGGAATTAAATAATCTGGGAACTTTGCGGGTAGCAGGAACGCAGACACTTGCAGGAGGCACAGGCGAGCAGAGGGTACAGCCCAAAATGAGTGACAGGATCTTCATCTGGCTGGAGTCTGTAACTCCCCGGCAGGCTCTCAATGGCCAGGCAGTTGTGCCCCGAGCTGGGCAGCACACCCAAAATCCTGGTAAGTCCACCAGGAGGGCTGGACACAGGCACACCTCGGGTTATGGGAAAGGTGAAGTTTTCAGAAATCAAGGTTGGGTGCAGCAGCAGTAACGCAGCGTGCAGTGGCAGCATGCAGTGGTGTGAGCAGACAGTAACACTTCACAGGAACAACTTTCATTTGAAATAGCTGCTGAAGGAGAACAGCATCAAAATGTGAATGACCTGGGGACTTCTGCCCCCAAACATTGCCTGGGAGCTCCATGGTAGGATATCGCCTGCAAGTTTGGGCTTCTCCCCGGCAAAGCAACTGGTGCCTCCTGGGAGCAGCCTGAAGAGATGGTTTTACAGAGGTTGAATGGTTTCACAGAGGTGGAAACAACAGCTGACAGCAAGGTACTGACTTGGTAGCTCAAGAAGTCTTGGGGTTGCTGAGGTTTGCTCTGAGCCCAAGAATGAGCTTCCCTTTTTGGAAACATTTGGCTGCATAACAGCCCAGGGCAGACCACTCTTCCTCCTGTTTCTCTGAGACTTTTTCCAGTTCTCCTTTCCTTCTGCCTTCTATGCATAATCCTCCCACCAGTATGGTTTATATGCCGTACAGCATAGATGTGCAGTTACATTTACCATTTCAAACATCAAAGAAAACGTCAATTTACACCAGGGAGAAAAAAAAAAATAAAATACCGTAAGCAGCACTTACATGAATCAGCACTGGCAGAGGAACTCAGAAACCCTCCCACAGCTGAAACCCTCCTTGTGGCTTTGCTCCAGGAGCTCTGGTGGCTCAGCGACTGCCACTGTAATGGAAAGGCTTGGGAGTGCAGCACATCACCCCCCTGACCATGGCCTCTGCTTGCAGGCAGCTGCCTGTCACCAGTGGGCATTGCACCCAGCACCAGGAGCAGTAGGGGTGGCTGCTTGAAAGCCCCCTCCCCACTCAGGGCTTGGCGGGGCCAGGAGACTGCAGGCATGCAGCATCCCCCTGGATGCAAGCGTTTGCTTCCCTGTGGCATAGGGTTACGACCCACAGGTGGATGAAGCAGGCAATGTATCTGTAACTGATTCTCACCTTGAAGTTCCGAGGCAGAGATTCGCAGATGTATTTTCTACTTGCTTGCAAAATAGGGAACAGAGGCAGAATGCAAGACACCGTGTCCAGTCATGCTGCATGCAAGCAGCGGCACAGCTACCATGCCAGCTGCCTCCCCACTGGTACGGCATTGACGCCAGTCCTGACACCAGAGCCCCTTTCATTGTCTTTTCTCTTCAGCAAAGCACAAATTGTTTTAGTCTGAGCTGACTGTCCTCACATTCAGAACAGGCATTTTTCAGTCACTCAGGAAAAAAAAAAACACAACCAAACAAAATAACAACAAACTGCCGTGTTCTAATTGCATTTCCACCAGGAAAAAAAAAAAAAGGCAAAGATTTCCAATGCTCTTTTAGTAATTACATTCCACACCAGCAATACAAAACTATACTTAAATCTAATGTAAGGTGGCTTACTAAATCACAAAGAGCAGACTTATCAAACATATCAGGAAAAAAGCACCTTTGAAGATCCATCTTAAATGTATTCATACCGGCTTAGAAGCTAGGATATTTGGAAAGCAATTCAAAATACGAGTGATTCAAAAAGATGCAGTTTCTGTCACTCTCCTCCTTTTCCAACTTCAGCTTAGAACAGTTACCTTGAAGAAAAACACAGTCTCCCTCATTATTTCCAATATAATTGTCTATTTTTTTCCTCTGAAAATGTACCAAAAAAAAAAAAAAAGTTCAGTCAAAATAACCCAAGATGTTTTTTTACTGAAATTACAAAACACATCTCAAAATGTGTTTTTCTATATAAAAAATCACAAATGTAGCAAAACCAAAAAACATCTACATGCCTGTTCCTCAAAGCAGCAGCATTCTTCAGGGAGTGCCTTTCATAACGTATAGTTTTCATAAAGGACTAATACTGCTTCTTTATTTACATTTTCCAGTATCAAATACAGGATGTGAAGAGCTGTAGATTTTTAATAGAAAACCATGCATTTCTGACACAACACAAAAGACAAAGACAAAAGTAGCTAGGGACTAGGGTTGTCAGCCCTGTAAGAAGGCCCAGTGAGAGTCATGCCTTGATATACAGTGTGTGTTCAGTGGTACTTTATTAACGTGCCATGGCAGAGAATTTTACCATTAATTTTATCAAAGAGAAGAGTTTGCTTTCCTCTATTAAGCAAGATAAAAGAATACCACTTCTGCTTTATTCTGAACATGGTCTGCCTTCACAGTTATTTCACCATAAATGCTTTAGTTTCTCTCTCATCCTTTCCTACCTCCATCTCTCTCTCTCTGTTGCCTACCTGTAGACTCTTAGAAAAATTTCCCTACTTGTTTTGCAAAGCCTGGACCATCTCTTTCAGTGTATCAGTAGCCTGCAAAGCAAAAGGGGTCTTCTCACAGGACAGGAAGTTATTCATCTGCCTTGCATGTATCAGGGAGTTGTAATTGATCCTGTTTGCTAAGAGCATTGACAAAGGAGGTGTAAGACTGAAGTGCATACAGATGTCCACTCAGATTTTCTGCCAGTAGCATAATAGCTATGCTTTCCCATTCACAGCATCACTTCATTTTTCCAGGATTTGTTTACTACACGGCATCCCTGCAAAGTTTGGTCCATGTTTAACACCAGGTTTGTTCTGCAGCAAGTTCTGGATTCAGATTTTTCTATATCACCTTAGAGTGCAGAGTCACAATAGAAAACAGCCTCAATATTCTCATTACCACTGCAAAATGTTGGAGCTGTGCTTGCAGGCTCACAGATTTTGGCAGATTGGCCGTGCAGCTCATTAATTAGCTTGAGGTCTCTGAGTTGTAATCAGGTTGATAGGCTCTCGCTGCTGCTGTTTGGGGTTAGAACTGCCTGTCATGACAAGCACACGCACCTGGGAGTGATTTGCTGACATGACTAGCATCTGTTCTCTCCTTTCTAAAAGAGGAAAAAATGGAAAGAGAAATAAAAAGCAAAAAATCTACAAGGAATTAAGGCAATATGAAAGAAGAAAACTTAATAGTTCTTTGCTCAGTTTGAGCTAAACATAAAGGAGCATCCTCTGTGCAAAGAAGCTGGAGGAGCTGAGGTTTTTAATACTGGTAATACCCTTTACAAACCTGAGTACATCCACAGGGCTGAGTGGGGCAGGCCTGTGGGTGGGACCACAGGCGTTCGGCCCTCTCTTGGTGGAGAGGCTTCTGTGGCACAGCATCCCGCGGCTGAGGAGGGCTGGATTGAGTGCTCTCCCAGCCATTCCTTCCCCAAGCAGTCCACCATGGGTGCCCCCAGCCACGCCTCGGGCTGACCCACAGCTCTCCCTTCTTTGTTTGTGAAGTTAGGCCCGTACGAACCTACTCATGTTTCAGCGTGAGGCCTGTGGCAAGAGTCACCTACTGCTTCTTGCTGTCTCCACAGTGCTAACACCTTTCAGTGCTGCACAGACTGGCTGGGCCTGGTTTCTTCTTCTTCCATCATTAAAATGTTGGCACTGTCTGACCCTAGAGCCTTGGGTGCTCTCCAGCCGTGGGTGAAGCGCCAGCTTCTCTAACTGAAGATCTGCCCTCACACAGTGTTTTCACCTCGCCATGCCCATGGTTTGGGCAGGAGGACTTGCTGTCCCCAGGGGCAGGGCCCGGAACACTGCAGCTCCTGCTGGGGTAGAAATAAATTCTGTGTTAAAACCAACCAAATTACTTTTGTTTCCAAAACAGCTTCAGCCCAGGTCCAGTCAATGGATATTGGGATAAGCATGTCTTTAAGGATATGCGATGACCTGGCCATGCAGGCCTGCACATAAAGAGGGTAGCTCTGGAAATTACAGGATTGGTAGATTTGAGAGAAAATGCTGCCTGCTGCAGAGCAGGACAGTGGTTTTATCAGTCACACGGTCTGCAGTAAGAAGGTGACAGCCTGAACAACGAAGATCCCTACCATTTTGAAAGAAAGCCGTAGCACAGCTTTACACACCTCTTTTGTTCATTACTCACTGTTAGTCCCTGGCAAGCTGCAGGAGTGGGAGCGCAGAGAGAAGGGATCTGTGCCTTCCACACAGAGTCCCCGGAGCAGCCTCTGGTGTTTGTTTGATCATGCTTCCATAGCGCAGGGCTGGTTTTCTAATGAGTCAGCAAAACTTTGGGCCGATTTCTTTTGTTTGAAAGCACACACGGAGAAAAGAGAACAAACTGAAGGCTTGATTTTGTAGTGAGAATGAATTAGCAGTAGCTAAGTGCTTTGAGCAGTAATTACAGTACAACACAGACACAGCTCCTGTACTAATGACCCTTTGAAAAAAATCCCATGTGACCTACCATGGGGCAGGCATGCGGTTACTATGCTTGTTTGCTGCCCTCTCTTGGAAGCAAAGACCAACCTCCAGGAAAGGAAAAGCAGAATAAAGGTTGTCAAGAGGACAAGCAGCAAATACTCTCACTCCAAGAGGGTGAAAGAAAAATAAAAATAAAATAAAATAAAATAAAATAAAATAAAATAAAATAAAATAAAATAAAATAAAATAAAATAAAATAAAATAAAATAAAATAAAATAAAAATATAGATAGTAATACCAAATATGCCATACACCATATATATATATATACACCAAGTAATACCAATAATACAAAACAAACAAACAAATTTTCCCTGCATTGAAAAAAAAAATAATGAAATGCTTCTAAATATCTGCTTTCTTTTCTTACGCAAGGTCTGAGAGAGAGATGATCTCAGTGATGAGACTGTACGTCACAGAAAAACATGTGCTTTTATTTTTAAAGGTATACGAAGTAAAATTTAAAATACATAATGTGACAAAACAACAACAAAGCAAACAAAAATATACTCAGCCCTCTTTAAAGACTGTACCACCTTCCTCTAGGATAACTTTTTTTAGCCAACTTGAAGCACATCACTATTTAAAATGTTCAATAAACATAGCCAAGCAGCCTGAACTCCACTTGGGTCTCAGTCTTCGAAAGAAAATATATAAAATAGTTGATGCCCCATTTTAATTCTGATTGGAGATCATCTGCCAGGGATCTTTACTGAAACTTCCATGGAGGGCTGTGGAAGTCCATCCATTCCTCATCACCTTTCCGTATAGTGGAGGCTTCAACCTTAAGAACTACCTGCATCAACCCCAAAGTCTGTTTAAGTGTGTAAGCAGGAAGCTGTGGATGCTTGTCACTTTTGAATGAAAGGTATTTCCTTCAGTGCCTAAGTGTGGAACTCCAGAAGCCTCATTTCAATCAATTTTTTAAATTTTAATCTTATCCCTCACCTGAGAACAGTGTTATCACCAATGGTACTCTCCTTGCTTCCCAGGGGATTACTGTGCACACACACACGTACAGGCACATTCATTTATCTCAAGGAGATTTGCCCAATTCAGCCCTGTGTCTGAGACAGAAACAACTGCATCACCATTAACCTCAGGCTGATGTAAACTTGGAATCCTAAGAACAACAATTTCACTGTCAAACAGCTCCGTAAGTGAAACAGAAAAAGGACCAAAAACGAGTTTAGTCCACATTTCCCTCTAGTGAATGCCACTTAGGGAAACTTGTGCTTTTCTTTCCAGATGGATTATTCATTTGGCTGTAAATTACATTTGGGAACAGGCAATTTTTGCTAGAGCACTGATTCACGTGCAGGAGTAGAGCTGTGTTGTGCTATGCAGTTGCTACATCTCGAGCGACCTCTGTTGTCAGAGAAATGGGATGACAGAGAAGGATACCTGATTTGCCCTGGAAGTCTGTAAGAAATGCTAGAAAAAAATGGTAGAGAAGAGCCTTAGAGACTGCCTGGAAGAAGAGGGCTCTTCACCCTGCCTGTCTGCCCTCTGCTTTAGACAGGCCTGCTCGGCGTTGCTTCGCTCCTTTGAGGAGACTATTCCACAGACTTACCCGGGATATAAAGTGACACTCCAGTGTTAACAAGGTCCTGCTGTCAGGTTCTGTTGAACCAGATGAATAGCTTTAGAGGAGGAAAAAAAAATGAAATCACCAGATATCAGTAATAAAACTCACTGGAGGTAAAGGAAGCTCCCATATGAGATGTGCTTGGGCAAACCTGGACTAGGAAAGAAGTAATGAAGGAGAAGATGGAGAGACACCGAATAAATTTCTGTTTTTATTTGAGATTCGAGATTAATAAAGCAGAGGAAGCAGCCACGGTTTTACCCTAATGGCTGAAGAAGGAAACAAACATTTCACCACTGGTGGTGCCCACCAGGTTCTTGTTTTGGGCTGGATCAACTTCTTCTACCTCTAAAATTTTGTTCACTGATGGAATCAGAGTGAGCATGGGCAATGTTTTCCCATACACCTAGCGTACTCATTTACCCTATATACTCTTTCTGCTGGGCTATAACTACCTCCATTTCTAGATAAGGCCATGCCTCAGGACACTCTGCTGATTTCCATTTCCATTCCCTTGACATTTCCCAGTCTGTTGAAACTGTGATGAAAATTTCTTCCCTAATAATTGTGATCAGTCATTGTAGTATTATGGTGTGTTGGTTTACATCATACATTGATCAGTGGAATTTTACTGGGGACTTTGGTGTTGTATGTGCTTAAGCAAGCAAACTGAAGGACATCAGCTCATTGCAAGGTCAGCCCCAGAGATACAGGCCTAGCTACTTGGATGGCCAGAAAAGTAGCCTTGTAGGCAAAACAACCAGGATAACGCTTGCATCCTAGCTGTCTCTCACATATCCTTGAAATCCAGCCCCCTCACCCCACAGTGTCTGGTGTCATAGATAAGTAACTAGTACAAAACTGAATGCAGCGATGGCTGAAGTAATAGGTAAGTTGCTTTGTTAAGTTTTACTGTGATTGTAGTCAGTAGCATGTGTTAATTAGCGATTGGACAACTTATATTGTACCTGTATGCCTGAAAGGTATAAAACCCTATGTACTAACACTCATGTACATGAATACTTACCCTAGTAATTCTATACTGTGTCCTAGCCACTCTCCTCAGTCAGCTGTGAATTTTCATGACAAAATAACACTGCAGACAACTTCATCAGACATTTATACTTGCTTTAGCCTTTTCATTTTAAACTATGTTTTGCAGCCACAGAATGATAGCCAAGCATTTTGAGAGAATATTCCTTTCAAAGCCACATCTAGAGAACTGATCATGTGCAATAAAGCATGACTTTTAGTCATCATACAAAGTACTCTCTTGGGACAACTTGCACACAGCAAGGAGGACAGCTTTTTAGCTGTGCTCCCTGATAAAATACTGCACAAGCCTGCATGTTTTCTCCCTGTGCTGTTTGCCTCTGCACCTGTCCATGCATGTGTCTGTTGTATCTTCATAGCACTGTTCGTGTCTGGCTTCTGGGCTGGCTGCAAAAGATCAGTTAATGACTTTTGCGTTAAGTAAGTTGGTAATGCATTTTCACTGAATGTGAGCCGGGGCTTTTCAGTGCCTACTGGCAGTCTGATCTTTGATCTACAACTGGAGGGTAATTTGTCTGAAACAGCCCACCTGAGCTTTAGTCTCACTCAGATCAGCTGATCGACACCTGAAAAGAATCGATATCTGAAAAGAAAAGTCTTGGAAAAGGAATGATGTGTATCCAGCAGGGTCCTCGTTGGTCCTCTTGCTAAATGCTATGTGCACATGCCAGCTCTTGGGCAAGGTGTGATCCAGCTGAGGAAGCCATCTCCACAACTCCCTGACTCAATGAAAAGGGAAGTGGGAAGGTGTCCCAGGCTCTCGTGTGACTCCTTCATGGGCTGACTGTCCATGCATGTCCATGCTCCTCAGTGCTCACCAGTGAGTGACCTGGGCCATCAAGAAGTGGATGCAAATCCCCTTCACAGGTGTGTGCATGTTCATATATTGAGCTTAAAGGAAGTAATTCTGGAAATCAATGGGATTTTTGGAGCGTTGTTTTTCTACACAGTTGGGAAGAGCTCTCCTAAGATCTGGGGAGAGCAGACTTCAGACTGCTCAGGGAACTAATTAGTAATGTGTCCTGGAAAAATGCTTTAAAGGCATTGATTTTGATCAATCAGGCTGGTTGGTTTGTGAGCACTCAGTGTGTGGATGCCATTGCAGGACCTCTCTCTATTAACAGTTTAACTGTCTTGGGAAACTGGAGAGGTCCCAGTCGATCAGAAGCTGGCAAATGTGATCCCAATTTTCAAGAAGGGTAAGAAAGAAGATCCTGGCAATTACAGGCCTGTCAGCCTCACTTCAGTGCATGGTAAAATTATGGAGAAAATAATTCTTATTGTAAAACACCTACAGGACAACACAGTCATTGGTCAGAGCCAACATGGGTTCCCTAGGGGAAAGTCATGTCTAACAAATTTAATTTCCTTCTATGATAATATCACCCTTCTAGATGACCAAAGGAAGCCAGGCAACGTAATCTCTCTGGATTTCAGTAAAGCTTTTGATACTCTCTCTCACAGTATCCTTCTGAACAAAATTACCAGAATATGGTTAGATAAAAGCATAGCAAGAGAGGTGAACAACAGGCTAATGGGTCAGGCCCAGAGGGTTCTTGTAAAAGCAGTTAGTTACATCAACCTGTCACTAGTAGGGTTCCCCAGAGCTCCATTTTAGAACCTCTTCAATGTTTCATAACCAATTTGGATGAAGGACTTGAAGATTTTTTAAACAAGTTTGCAGATGATACTAAAATGAGTGGAGCTGTTGAGTCTGTCGAGGGTGGTGAGGCCTTGCAGAGAGACCTTGAAAAATTAGAGAGCTGGGCAACCACCAACATTATGAAGTTTAACAAGAGCAAGTGTTGGATTCTGGAGCTGGGAGATGGCAACCCTGGTAATACATACAGAGTGAGGGAGGAGATGCTGGAGAGCAGCCCCACAGAAAGGGATCTGGGGGTCTTGATTAACAATAAGCTGAACATGATGCAGCAGTGTACTTTGGTCAGGAGGGCCAACTGTTTCCTGGGGTGCATCAAGAATTGTCCCGCACTACTCTGCGCTGGAGCAGTCTCACCTTGAACACTGTCTGCAGTTTTGGATGCCAAGGTGTAAGAAAGATATAAAACAACTAGAGAGTATTCAAAGGAGGGCTACAAAGATGATGAGGGGTCTGGGGGGGAAGATGGATGCTGAAGGGTCTGGTGGGGAAGACATATGAGGAGCAGCTGAGGTGCCTTGGTTTGCTCAGCCCCGAGCAGAGCAGGCTGAGGGGAGGCCTCATGGCGGCCCGCAGCTCCCTCACAGGGGAGCGGAGGGGCAGGCGCTGAGCTCTGCTCTCTGGGGACAGCGACAGGACCCGAGGGAAC